CCTGGACAGCTAACTGGACAACAGGCACAGACAGATGGGAAGTGCATCCTCTGACCACAGTAATCCTGAACAAAAACTCACCCAAATGTAGATGCTAACACATGGCTACAAGACCAACTCTAGATATTTCTTACCACAAAAGGTAAATCTTAAGAGTCACATATAAAGATAAAGCCTTGAATTTACTTTTGTTTTTTTAAAGCAAGCATATATGTGCTAAAGAAAAGGAGGAAATCTGGTTAGGCAGCTATTCACATAAAAAAAAAGATCAGGAGACTTAATGAACTATAACTTCAATACAAGCCAACAAAATTATATAGTGAAGACAGTGTGGTTCATGTGAATAGAACATCAGGTCCAGTTCTCCTCCAGCTCTGCCAGGACTGAATTTTCACTTGTGAGCCTCGGTCCCTCCCATGCAAACTCACAGGATAGTGATGTTTAGCTCCCTGGCTACCTCACAAGACTCAAAGGGAGTAATGAAGTTCCTAACTGTAAAAGCGCTTGGAAGACTCATTCTTATTTTTTAAATCTGGCTATTATTCTCATAAAAACACTCTCATTAAATACTTACAACACCACCCTCTTCTTCACCTTTATTTTATAGATGAAAACATTAAACAATGAGGCGATTATTTAATTGACCCTAAGTCACAAGACTAGCAAGTGACAGAACCAAAACTCCAAAGTTTGAAAGTCACTGATACAGTTCCATAACCAAAACACAAAAAAGGGCTGTATACTCTGTTCGGGGCATATCAGAGTTTTCTGCTTTATTTCAGACAGTGCAATTAAAGGACAATACAAAGACAAGAGCTGCCTGAAGAAAGCCTGGTGAGCCCATATTAAACCAGGAGGGGACAGAAGATATACAGCTGTCCCCATACATCAAGTATAACCAGCATCAATTCATGTCACCACTATCTCCCCTGATAGATTGTGAGCCCCTGAAATGTGGGGACCATTAACTTAACTGTACCCTCTTGGTACCTGGTGCCTAAGTGGAGAAAGAGTTTAGTAAAAAAAAAAAAAAAAAAAAATTAACCAATCAATCTAGAGATGGTCCACTCACTGTCCTGGGAAATATGAAGAGCTAACAATGAGAGAAAGATGTAATTCACATTGTTTCAAGAAGTGTAACTAAGGTCAGTAGGCAAAAAGGGAGGGCCAGACTCTGGTACAGTCTAAAAACACTGCTGGCAACCAAGACCCGTCCAGGAAAAGAGAAGCATCCTGCAGTTCAAAGCTGATGCCCAGAGCATAGTAGACGTGGGCAGGAGGTTGGATTCTGGCCTTGAAGAGACTCAGGAAGCAAGAGAGGAAACTACAAGGTGCTCCACAAAACTCTCTGTGCCCTCAAGGATCTGAAGAAAAATAAATGCACGGCAGTGAATCTGAGCAAGGAGGAAGATGATGCATACAACAGAAAACAGCAAGGAGTAAGAACACATCTAGGAAGGAAACAAGATAGTAGTTAAAGTTGTTACGGGACTGGTGCTGTGGCATAGCGGGTTAAACCACTGTCTGCAGGGCTGGCATCCCACATGGGGGCAGGTTCAAGTCTTGACTGCTCCACTTCTGATTCAGTTGCCTGCTAATGGCCTGGGAAAGCAGTGGAAGATGTGCTTGGGACCCTGCACCCACTTTAGAGACCTGGATTAAGCTCCTGGCTCCCAGCTTCAGATTGGCCCAGCCCTGCCTGCTGCAGCCACTTGCGGAGTGAACCAATCGACTTCTCGCTCTCTGCCTCTGCCTCTCCCTCTCTGTAACTTTAAATTTCAAATAAATAAATAATTTTTTTAAAGTACAAGGATGTTATGGAAGAAATGCTATCCTTGAGCACATTACAGCTAGATCTTTAGGGAACCGGGGGCTGCTACAGTGTGGCAGTAATACTATAAACATAAAACTGGCAAGGGGGCTGGTACTGTGGCTTAGTAGGTAAAGCTATGCTCTGGCTGCTCCACTTTTGATCCAGCTCCCTGCTACTGTGCCTGGGAAAGTAGCAGAAGATGGCCCAAGTGCTTGGGCCCCTGAAACCACATGGGAGATCCAGAAGCAGCTCCTGGCTCCTGGCTGTGCATGGGCCCAGCTATAGCCTTTGCGGTCATTTGGAGAATGAACCAGTGCATGGAAGATCTCTTTTTCTCTCTCTCTAATTCTGCCTTTCAAATAAAAACAAATAACTCTCTTTAAAAACAAAACAAAAAATGGGCAGGAAAGCCTGGGATAGTAAAGAATCAACAAGAAGCAATCAGTAAATTCTAGTGCTTCGGAGGTCACTGAGTAGCACACATATATATAGACTTCATGAACAATGGCCCTGGAGGCACTGGGTAAAGAATGGATAGTTCATGTTTAAAAATCGCATCTGGTAAACCAAAAACCGTATCATTGATTTTTTTTTTCTTGGTTTAGTCTTCAAGATTAATAAATCCTTCTCTTATTCTTTTGAAAAATCTTCTAAATGATCTGTTTTTTAAAGATTTGTTATGTTTTACTACTGTCTACTATTTCTGCTATTTAATTTGGCAACTAGACTTGCAGCAATGAAAAGTGACAGTTTTAATAACTCAGCTCTGGGCCTAGTATTTATAATCGCCTAAATGACTGTATTAACCAACAATGCTACAAAATTTATAGTATTAGAATCTAAAAAGTACAATTTTGAGGCTGGCACTTCAGTGCAGCAGGTTAAAGTCTGCCATATAGGCACTGGTTTGAGTTCTGGTTGCTCCACTTCAGATCTAGCTCCCTGCTAATGTGCCCAAGAAAGCAGTGGAGGATGGTCCAAGTGCTTGGGCGCTTGCACCCACAGCCAGGAGGAACTCCCAGCTCCTGGTTTCAGCCTGGCCCACTCCCAGCTGTTGTGGTCATTTGGGGAGTGAACCAGTGTTTGGAAGACCTCCCTCTCTATCTCTCCCCCTCTCTTTCCATAACTCTGCCTTTCAAATAAATAAAATATAACTTTTTAAAGTACCATTTTAAGTAGAATTGTTAAGAATACAAACACATAATAAATTTAATTCTCTAGGCCAGGAAACTACATCACTCAACTTATAAATCATGACACTAACAAACTAAAGAAAACAGAATTATCGAAAGCCTTAAGTTAAAAAAAAAAAAAACTAAATCCAAAATGAGTGAACAAAATATAACACATTTGAACAAAAAACATAATTTTCTGACCAATCATTTCTTAATGTTCATTTAAACTATTTTAAGTATCTGAAATCTTGTTCTCTAAAAAGCAAGTTCCCATCATCTAAACCACACTTAAAGAGATTCTATCACAGTAGTCACTGAAGCGTCAGAGTTTTGATTGCTATCAGTACAAAAGCTTACCTCTCTTTTATATGAATGAAGTTGAAATACATAGGTTAATCCAAAAGTCTGACACAAAAGGAGGTGCAATTATTCAATTCTACACAAATTTATGGTGTGAACTGAGCAAAGGCCTTTTATGTACTTGCAACATGGAGATAAAGGTAGGAAGTCCACCTCTTCAAAGCAGTTCTGATTATGATTAACCTTAGTTGGAAGAATTAAAAAGCAAAGAGAAATCCAAAAACTATTGTATAAAAATAAAAACTTTCAAAACCTAAAACACTATTACACATAAGCCCATAATAAACAATGAATTCTAGAAGCTGAGATTTGAGTAACAACTGCTAAAAAGGTGCAATTACACAATGTTACCAAGATAAATAAGAGAACAGCTCATCAAAACTTGAATCTTTGTTTAGCAAATACAGACGCTTAATAATATTCAGCACTCTGGGGCATTGTGTTATTTTTTTCTTATCTATAGGCTCTCTGCTTCAATGTTACTATTCTCTTACTCCCTTGATGAGCAAACGGAGCCCACTGTCCCGACAGGATCCCTCGGACAAGTAAATGTCACAAATAAGAATAGTAATAACAACTTCTGAAGCCAGGGTTGATCCAGGACTGTGGCTCCCAAACAGGGTGCAAGGTATGCGGTACCGTGCAGCTATTCCTCGCCCTGACTCTTCTGCAACCCGAAGCTCTCGTTGCCACATCTACAAATTAAAGTATCCTGCTACCAGAGCTCATGGGACCTACGTATGGTATTTAATAAACGAACCCCGCTACAAGAAATTCACCCAGATGCAGCATAGTATGCTTTAAGCCTCCACCTAATTTTTTTAGACAAACAGTAACTAATTTTTTAAAAAATTATGTAATAAGTTAGCCTCTGGAAAACCCCATACTCATCCGAGCAACTGAGAAAATGGAAAGCAAAATTCGATTAGCTCCATTGTACCCAACCAGACTACCGTGCAGGATCACACACTCCTCTCCGTCAGAGCGTCTCTGCCAATACCAGAGAACAACAAAGGCAAGTTGAGGAGGCTGCACGGCTTAACTCAGCACTTGTCCGCTTTCCCAGCTTCCGCAGGCCCGAGGGACCGGGGACCCCCACGTCCCGCCCGCCCCGCGCCGCGCCGAGCGCTCGGCTTTTGTTCGGCCCGGCTGGGCGCCCCGGCCGCTGGCTCCCGGCCCCCGGCCCCCGGCCCCCGGCCCCCGGCCCCCGGCCACTCTCTCCACACCCATCACTCGCCTGCGACTAGTTGCTACGGGCTCCTCAGCCGAGCCCCCTCCCCTCGCCAGCCCCGGCTCCTTTCAGACACCGACCCGGCTGGGCTGGCTTCTCGCACCGGGCCGGGGACGCTCTGGTCAGGAGGGGCCCGGGGCGGGGTCCAGAGAGGGGCACACAAAGCCCGGCCGACCCCACAGTCGACCTTCCAGCCGACCCCCGCCGGCAAAGCGGCCTGGGAGCGGAGACCCACAGCCCCGGCTGTGCGCTCCCCGCCCAGCTGCCAGCGAAGGGCCGCCCCCTCCCCCCAAGTGCACCGGGCGCGGATGACAGCCCCGGACCTCGCCCCGACCTGGGCCCGGCGCCCGCCGCTGCGCGGAGGGGCTGGGACCTCGTCTGGGCTGGGGTCTGAAGCCCCTCGCCTTACCCCGGTACTTACAGTCCCATTATTTGCTACTGTTGTCGCTGCGGGTCACACAACCGCCGCCTTCTCCTCCACCCCAATGAGGTTAAGCGCTTGGTGCGGGGATTAAAAAAAAAAAAAAAAAAGGCGAGAGAAGGCGACGGCGCCTGCGCAATGCAGTCTCCCCGCTCTCTTAGCGCCACCGCGCCGGCTGGACCATAGAGTGTACACCGAGCCCAGAGAGGAGCTGCCTCTCTATGGTAACAGCCCGCGCAGGCGCCCGCCTGGAGGCGTGGACCTCTCGAGGTGAGGGCCCTGGGAGCTTTCGCTCCCACAGAGAGCGTGGGTTGACCCTGACGGGGATCCGTAGGACAAAGCTTCTTCAAGGAAAGCGTGCCGAGGCTGTCTGAGGTTAGGCCCCCTGGACACGGCCGCTGCAGCACGGCGCCAGCAAGCAGGCTTATGATGGCCCAAGCCAGAGTCCTCCCGCCTGAACTTCCTTTGGTCGGGGGTCTAATACCTGAAGGAAACAAGGCTTTCACTTCTGGGTTACGCGCGCACCGCCCCCTTCCGCCGCGAACACCCCCGATGACAGAAAGTGTGCCCTGAGCCTTGCCGTAGCGGGTGGTGGGGCCGGAAGCCCTACTCTTTAACGGTTCTTGGCCTTTTGAGAGCGCATTTGCGCCCGTGGAGGCCGTGAGAGCCTCGAGACGGCCGGCGAGGGTCGTGGGCATGTCGCTTTGGGCTGACTTGTGAGACAGTGTGGAGGGCGCGAATCGTGGGGCTGCCCTCTAGGCCGCTGAAGACCCAGTGTTCAGCCGTGTCGGGCCCCACGCCGGCCGCTAATTGGGTGTGGAAGCTGTTGTGTTGAAATGGTACGCCGCTTTCTGAACGTCACTTTCAGAGCTTTCCCGGGGGTGCCCTCGTGCCGCGTTCCGTGCAGCCCAACTGGGCGGCTGTGGGGAGGGGGCATGGGGTCGGCCTTTCTGTGGAGTGCGGGCGAAGGAGTGTTGACGGTTTGGAAGAGTTGGGGTGACAGCCAGTCCTGGGAAAGGTAATACATCTTTGGGACAGAAGAACGAGCAACCTTTTGAAAATCCCTGGGTGATGATAAAAAGCTTTCTGGGGAAGAAGGCCCCGGGGCGAAAGTCCAAGTGCGAGTGGATGGTCTCCTGTGGAAGACAGCAGGGTAACCGAAATCAGGGTGAGGGGCGGGAAATGTTGGGGGAGAGTAAGGTTTGGTAGGTAGGAATGAAAAAGATTGTTGTATACCCGTAACGTAAAACTGGCCGTGTGAACCCCTTAGTGTATAGAGTTAAGTACGCTTAATGTGGTTGTGCATCCACTCTCCAGAATCCTTTCCAGCTTGCAAAACAAACCACTCATTAAACAACCCCCCATTCGCCACCATTCTGCTCTCTGTCAGTGAATTGGACCGTGGGTATCCCCTAAAAAGGGTCAGAGAGTACTGATCTTGTGACTGGCTTATTTCACACAGCGTAGCATCCTTGACAGTTATCCACGTTCTGGCACGTGTCAGAATTCTCTTTTCTAAGGCTGAATGTGTTATACAAATACCTTTCGTTTGGCTTACCTCCACCTTTTTAATGCTGTGCATAATACTGCTGTGAACATGGTATACAAATGCCTGTTCATGGGAAAGAGTTTGACACAATGAGGGAAATCCGTACTTGCTACATGGTATCAGGCCCTTGGCTAGGCATGTTCCTCTCCCCTGGGCTCTGGAAGCTGAATACTGTACTCCATTTCCTGCCCCTTCGACATTTTGCAGGGTAAGAAAATCAAGGTTCTGGACTGACAGAAGGCATATGCTTAGGAAAGAAAACTACCATGGGTACTACACACCCATGAGCATTGACAGACAGTTCATTGGTTTGGACAAGGATATTGGAAGAAAATTTTCACATGAAAGTGACTTTTCTCAGGAGAATAGGCTGACATCAAAACCCAACATTGCTAGCACGTATAAAGGCTCAACTCACAAAACTGCATCTTCCCTAAAAGAACACTGCAGTTTAATTACAGGTCTGCTCATTGCCTTTAACAAACAGAACATGGCCAATGGGAACTTTGTATGTAATAGATTAATAAGACAGAGCCTTTCCTCCTCAACACTTCATCTTTCATTTTATATTTGCCAGAATACTGTACAACACCCATTTGGCAGATGAGGAAATGGAGAAATTACTCTCAGGGTATCACATGACTGACTGGTATCAAGGCATTGAGTGGAACCTGGGCATCCAGAATTCCCACTCTGATTTGCTCTCCCTTGGAGAGATAGATAACAAAGCCCTGATAAATGAACCATGTTTCTGTTCAGTATCATGTTTCTCAGGGAATGCACGGCCAAATCCCATGAAGGTAGTGCCAGTTAAACAAAGAGGGAGAGAATATAATAAGTGTTATAAGCAGTTTGAATTCACTCAAAAGTATGTGTACCAGGGTCACCGCAGTGATACATTGGTTAAGCTACCACCTGCAGCACTGGTATCCCATATGGGTGCCAGTTCAAGTCCTGGCTACTCCACTTCTGATCCAACTCCCAGCTAATGTGCCTGGGAAAGCAGCAGAGGATGGCCCAAGTGCTTGGGCCCCTATACCCAGGTGGGAGACCCAGATGAAGCTCCTGGATCCTGGCTTCTGCCTGACACAACTCTGGCCATTTGGGGAGTGAACCAGTGGATGGGAGATATATTTTCCTCTCTCTGCCTCTCCCTCTAACTCTGCCTTTCAAATAAAAAAATCTTTTTTTAAAAAAAAGTTGTGTATCAACTATGTCCTAAATACTTAGCAAATGGAAAAAATCGATGACCTAGACAGGAAAAATTTTTTTTAACAGAGTTAGAGAGACAGAGAGAAAGGTCTTCCTTTCTGTTGGTTCACCCCCCCTCAAATGGCCACTATGGTCGGAGCTACGCCAATCCGAAGCCAGGAGCCAGGTGCTTCCTCCTGGTCTCCCATGCGGGTACAGGCGCCCAAGCACTTGGGCCATCCTCCACTGCCTTACCAGCCACAGCAGAGAGCTGGACTGGAAGAGGAGCAGCTGGGACTAGAACCTGGCACCCATATGGGATTCTGGCACCACAGGCAGAGGATTAGCCAAGTGAGCCACAGCGCTGGCCCCAACAGGAAAATTTTTAAATGAAGTAAAATATAAAATCAGTAGGATAAATGTTGCAGGGGGAAAAAATTAAGCAACATGGGGAATGTGGGAGTGCTAGAGTAGCGAAAGAGGTTTTTGTTTAAATAATGGAGAGGAGTGCCCTGAGATGACAAACTTTGTGCAAAGGTGCAAGGGAAGTGGGGGAACAAGAAACATGCCTAGTCAGCAGAAAGGGCATTCCAGGTATAGAGAGGTGTAGGAATCATTCTGTAATGGCGATGCCTACTGCATTCTAAGAACAAAGAGGGCCAGAGTGACAGAAACAGAATACACCAGGGTAAAAGGAAGTGAGAGCAAAGACGTCACAGGATGCCAGATTGTTGCATGGACTTATAGGCCATTGTGAGGGCTTTGGCTTTTACTGATAGGAAACCACTGGAAGATTTCGAACAGGTAAGTAGCATAATGTGACTTCTGTTTTTTATTTTGTTTGAAAGAGAGAGAGATCTTCCATTGACTTGTTTACTCCACAAATAACTACAGCCAAGGCTAAATCCAGGAGACTAGAACTTTGTCTGGGTCTCCCATGTGGCAAGGACCCAAGTAATTGAGCCATCATATGCTGCCTCCCAGGGTGTGCCTTAGCAGAAAGCTGGAATAGGAAACAAACCCAGATATTCTGATATGGAATGTGGACATCCTGAGCTGCATGTTAACCACTGTGCCAAATGCCTGCCCCACATTAACTTTTTTAAAAAAAGATTTACTTATTTGAAAGACATCTGGTTCACTCAGATGGCCGCAGTGGCTGGGATTGGGCTGATCCAAAGCCAGGAGCTTCTTCCCAGTCTCCTTCATGGTTTCAGGGGCCCAAGTACTTGGGCCATCTTCTACTGCTTCCCCAAGTTTATTAGAAGGGAGCTGGATCAGAAGTGGAGCAGCAGGAACTCAAACTGGAGCCCATATGGGATGCCTGCATCACAGAACACTAGCATCCCTCCAAGTTAACATTTTAAAAGAAACCTTGGAGGAGAGGGGTGCAGGCATTGTGGCATGCCTGGGAAAGCCACTGCCTGTGATGCCAGCATTACATATGGGTGCTGGTTTGTGTCCCTGCTGCTTCAGTTCAGATCCAGCTCCCTGCTAATAGCCTGGGAAAAGCAACAGAAGATGGCTCAAGTGTTTGGGTCCCTGCCAAAGGAGTCGGAAGAAAGACCCTGGCTGAAGGTGTAAATTTGGGAGACATCAGTTTGTAGACTGTATTTAAAATCATGTGATCACCTAGATACTAAGTATAGACAGAAATTTGGATAAGATATCTAAGCCTCTGAAATAGGAGGAAACCAAGAAAGGAATCCCAGTTGAGTGGTGCAGGGTTTCAAGGAAGAGTAGCCACAGCAATGGGTGATGAGCTCTAATTGATTTTTGGTTATTAACACTGGAGTGGGTTTAAAGAAGAGAGGCAAAAACAGAACTGGAGAGGAGGGATAAATGCGGGGAGGGGTAGTTTTTGTTCTTCTTTAAACAAAATCATGTCCTCTGCAAATGGAAATTCTTTTCTCTTTCTAACATGAATCCCTTTTATCTCATTTTGCCTAATTTCCCCAGCTATAAACTCCAGTACAATGTTGAATAGAATGGGAAAAAGTGGGCATCCTTTCTTAGGTGAAAGCATTCCATTTTTCACCATTAAATATGGTGGTTTTTTTTTTTTTTACTGTGGGTTTTTCATGTAGATTCTTTAACAAATTGCTGGTGTTCCTTTTTATTCCTAGATTGTTGAGTATTTTATCATTAAAGAGTTAGATTTTGGCCAGCGCTGTGGCTCACTTGCCTAATCCTCAGCCTGCGGTGTCGGCACCCTGGGTTCTAGTCCCTGTTGGGGCACCGGATTCTGTCCCGGTTGCTCCTCTTCCAGTCCAGCTCTCTGCTGTGGTCCAGGAAGGCAGTGGAGGATGGCCCAAGTGCTTGGACCCTGCACCCGCATGGGAGACCAGGAGGAAGCACCTGGCTCCTGGCTTCGGATCGGCGCAGCGCACCAGCCGCAGCG